GCCTAGACTTGTTTGCCTGTCGTAGTATGACACTAAAAATTTACTATTTTCTCCCAGTGAGCGAAACTTTGTTTTGTGGTACCAAAAAGTGTCCGCCCACTCCGGAATTATTTCGGATAATGTATTGGATACCTCAACTAACAGTCAGTCCTTATCTTACACGTGGGTTCCCCATGAGTGAAAAGTTATGCCGTGAACCCCAGTGCCAGATGGTGGCACGCAGTTCTAGTTTTAGGACCTCTGCCCGAGACCACAACGAATACTATTTTTTCCTTATCTACCAATAGCACATATCCTTTTTGGTTCACTAATTAATCAAGACGGTATGTACAATCATAATCAAGGCGATCGGACCTTTCCTAACATCGGATCTTGTGAATTCGACCTCCTTGAGACTCGTACACACTGCCTGCCGCAGCTTCTCTCTGTGATCAAGTCGATAGTCGTAAGCGCCCATCTACTTATGCGACGGTTGTCCCGTTATCTGAGAAGCAGACCGACTGGTGGTTCTTCGGTTACTGCAACCCGGTGTTGGCCGGGGATAGTTTCCTTTAGTAAAACTGGAAGCAGTCATGGTTTCTGTATTTGGTACCTAACAGTGCCTGGCCGTTTGGCCACCGATGCGGATGTAGTGTTTATTCTATTGTCGGTCAGAGGCAGGTTCCCATGTCGCGAATACAAATCTCATTTAGTGCGGCAGGATGTCACATATCCCGGAATAGGCATCCTCATGATGCCTCGGACTCATCTGTCTGGTCGCGCATTCGCTCTAACACCATACTGGATCTCTTATCGACAAGCATCGGAAATGCCACTGGTCTGCCTGTCTTGTTGTCGTCAATATTGCACCACTTTATGGTGACATTAACCTCGGTCTGGTTGGTTGGTCAGTGACACGACCGAAACTCGCCTCTGATCCACGCCGAAAAAGTCCAACAGGCAATGTTCGATACCAGTCGCACATAGGCTTTACTTCAATAGAGTATTTGCCCATCAAACTTTTCCCTCAAAATGGTATTTTGGGGGTGTGGGACTATAGTAAGTAGTAGTAACTCTGTACTCCGGTAGTCGTATTCGATCCTCATTACCCACGCAAATTTATTACTGACTCGTCAGCCCAACCAAGCTGTCCCAGAGAGTCAGGTGCTGCCTGATCCATGACTGCCCCTTCACTGCGTTATCCTGCGTGCAGTTAGCAGTTGTCTGAATTACAAAAGGGGACCCAGCCTCGAACGGTTAGCTTAGTGCGCTCAAGCCTTCACGATGTAAACTGCTTTCCATAGTAAGGTCATGACTAGAAAGCGCATTAAATCCAATTGCTTCCCTTTTGGACATGCGACCCACTATTTCTAATCCACTGTCACAAGCATATTTCCTCTAATCTGCCTAACGAGGCCCGAACTTTAACCTCCTGAAAAAAGTTTTCAGATTTTGCAGCAAGATACTCGCGCCTCAGGACGGGAAATTGGGCAAAATATCAAGAAGAGTGTGACGTTGATTGATACTAGTTGCAATATCGCGTTCCCAAATCCGAGGGGCAAAAATGTAGTTTGTGTAAGTTATTGTTTTAGGTTTGACGTCTAGGATAGGGATTTTGCCTATCCATCCTCAAAGACTGAAAGATCATGCGCGCAGCCTTCCTTATATGCTGCATTTTTCTTGCTGCGCAGGCCACCAATGTCCACTGTGGGACTGCGTTGGATCCTCGTTTCACCGTGACCTGTCGTCCCTGCCCTCGTGGAACTCGGAGGTAATGGACGTCCCCGATTGTCTCACACCGTCGTTGTCTCCTGTCAAGAAGGTGCGTAAACCCAGGTGGGGGAAAGCAAATTGATGTGGCGGTTGCCTGACCAGTCGGTGGACATCCAGCTTCTTGCACCTACCTTGACGTGTGGTCATTGCTTCGGCTCACAATCTCAACGGCGCTAAATTTGCAGATGTTTCCCATCTGCGCGACTTGAGTTTACCCCTCCGACTATGGGTTTAATCTTCGCTTTGCCAATTTATGATCATACATTCATGTTTGCAGCCATGAGACGATTTCGCTAACTTACCCGCACGGTTCGCGGCTGCACTGAAGCCGATAGACAACGACCGACTTCTCCTGCTTGGGAAGAGGATCTTTTGGCCGCACCACCTGACGACGGATTGTCGAGTCCGGCCTGTGGGCTGCTCCCATTCAGAGTGGCGCGAGGGATCTGGTCGCGGCCTCCGAGATCGACTTTATATACGGAATGCTCCACCACAGTCGACATTCGCGGTCTGCACATCAAACAAAATGCGCACTATAGCAGGGCTGTGCGCACGACTTTCCAGTCCCTGAAGGTTGGTAGGCGAGATCCCTGTCTGAAGCGTCAAATCCCAAATAAACCTCTCCCGTGAACGCCTCTTCTTTTTTTGACACACCACCAATTGATCTCATTTTCCCGACTATTGAGGATAAGCTCTGCTCATATGGGGTTGGCCTTCGCCTTTGTGTCCTAGTTGTGGGGTGGAGCGCGTCCAACTGATAGAGCATTTGGCTCAAACACTTAGGAAATGACCCGGCTTCGGATCTCAGATCCCCCAGGTCCGAGGCATGTTTGACAGACGATGGAGCATTCCAGAGTCTGCACTAGGATCCCCTGTTCTTTTTCAGTGACATTTCTCAGTAGGTTAAACGTTGAACAGAACAGAATGGCATCATCCGCCCTAAAGTCCAGTCAGTTATGTGCGATCTGCGTGACGTAGATACAGAGCAAAGTCACGTTCGTCGGTCGATCTTCGAGGACCGCGGGAGCTGTCAGGATGACCGACCTTGACGATTATTGAAACAGGTGCCTATTGACGCATGCGCGCTGACAAAGCTGACGTTTATTTTGAATGGTGCACGCCTGGGTATTGGATACCAGCGGTGGCAAAGAATGTTCCAGGTTTTGGCTCTTCCCTCGGCCCTGTACACGACATCTACCAAGCGTCGTCAGTATACTGCATGGGAGTCTCGGTTTACGGGGGCAATCTGTGACGAGCCTGAAGATGAAGCTTCGATCATCTCAAGGAGTGGGGTGGGCTGGTACCTGTCGAGTTTGAAGTCCGTGGACCTTTCAGCGAATTACTTCCGAGCAAGTCCAGGACCCTTTTGATAAGGTAAGAGAGTGTAGCATCCTGTTCGTGCGTAACGCTCATCGCTATTTATCTCTTACCACCGGCCAGCTTACCTTTACTAGTAAGATGCGCTATAACATGCCGCTGAGGCCACATAAGTAATAGCTACTAAGTTCTGGCGCCAGATTCTGGAAAGTTCCCGAAAGTGCGTCAGAGGTTAGTCTTGACCTCGTCTGGGAATAGAGTAGGACATAATCGGCTTATTTTGCCGTCTGTTGGACGCTGTTCATGTGCTCCGAAACTAGCAAGACATAGACGTCCACTGACTTCTTTCGCACCTTATGGGCTACCGTATGTTAGCTTTTTAAGCGTTACGGCGTGGAAGCCTGTTTTGAATAAAAAAAAGTCAAACAGTCCCTGTCCTAGAATCTACAGCAAAAAGTTACCGAAAAGCTATATGCTCTCGATTATCTCGAAACCTGAGAACGCCATACGAAGACCTAGTCAAAATCACTGAAGTGCCGGAAGGGTAAAAATGTGTCAAGATTTTATTTAAATGCATGATCCGAAGCGGTTACATGTGATCATTATGCCGAGGATATGTACCGATGGTTCTGGCTGCTCTAGGAGCCGTCGACAGTCAAACCTCTTTATCGGGCCAAAGACCACAGGGCTCCTACACGCGCTCAAGTTCAGCTCTTACGTTGTCCGTTAGACACACGTAATAGTTCGACCTTCGCATCCGACGATGTCCACCGTGTGCTTCACGGCATGGTGAAGCAGACACAATGACTTGCGCGTGATTTAGTGTATAGTGGATGTAGACTTTTGCTGCATCTACCGCACCCTCTTCTCCTCCCCCATCTGCACCCGGTGTCTAGACAGAGTCAAGAAGCATTGTGCAATAATTTACCGTACTAACAACACAGGTATTAGCTAAAAGCCCAGACACGCGTGTTTCGCGAGTCAAGAAGACCGGAGATGGAGGAGGACGCAGGTGGATAGCACGGTCGAGCCCGCACCTTGGCATTCCACTCCACACTCCTTGGTCCACACAGCAAATGACCAGGATTTTAACCAACAACAAAAGGGTTACTGGCACGACCGGGGCCACACCTAAGCATGCCGTACACCTGGCTCGGATCCCACAGAATGGAAGTGCCATAAAGGCCACATTAAGAAGGAGCCATTACAGCCTTTCTCTTAGATCACCAGCCGGCCGCCCCACACAAACCCACAACACTAGGCCGACTGCGATATCCAACTTATCCCGTCAGTTGACAAACTTTCAGGCCACGGCTTTTAGCGCACCGTGATAGCTTCAAGCGCGTCAGATTGTTTATAGTGAGGAAAATGCGCTGTGTCGTCGATCTCGCTTTCCCCTCCCCACTCCCAGGCCCCAGCCACTGTCCGAGCCGGTCAGTTGACTGCTGTGGGGAATGAGCGCGGTGGCTGGCATATCTAGTGGCCATGTCTGCGCGCGCCACATGCACGGCCTGGGCTCCTAAACACAAGCATCAGAATTTCACACAACGGGGATTGAGCGGCGTACTCCTAACATGCACTAGAGTACTCCAGGTCACGTTAAGAAGGAGCCACTTCAGCCTGGCTCTCAGCCCACCAGTCCGCCACTTCACACATACACACACATAACTGGACAGACTGCGTGGACTGAGTTGGGGCGTCAGTCAGCAGCCTTCCAGGCCATAGCGCTTGGCGCGCTGTGATCGAATCATACATGCAGCAAAGAAACAGCATGGAGACGGAGCCGGGACACACACTTCCAACTTGCGTGGAAGGTGGAATTTGGATGCCTGTGGTAATTGATGATGTTGTGTGATGTTTGTGGGGAAAATGTGATGGTGTGGTGTAGCCGGCGCTTGACTACCGCGGGTTTTCGTGAATGGACATTTGGCCTAATAGGCCCATGCGGTAGGTGAATGTGGGGGTGCAGTGGGAAGTTGAGGCGGACGCGGTGAGTGTGTATGGGTGCTCCAATGGATTCGCAAGTGACCGACCAGGTCAGTGTGTGAGGTAGATGTACGGGGACAGCGGGGACAGGAAAAGTCAGCGGTGTTAGTGTCGGTCTTGGAGATGGTGCCAGTGGTGGGGCTGTTGATGGTGGACGCGCTGTGTGACGGCTAGGCATGGTGGATGTGCAAGATATGTTGACCTTGGTGGAGCTGACGGTGGTGGAAGTGCTGGGCGGCGGGGTGTGGGTCGAGCTAAGCATGACCAGGCCGAGGTTGTTGCAGGCGGCGGAAAAAAGGTTCATGCTCCTTTGCATGTCCCCTTCCGAGGTGGCGTTCAGAGCGCAGTCATTGGCGAAAAGAAGTTGATGGAATATAGTTGCGGATACACTCGACTGGAAGTGTATCCGTTGGTGGTTGAGGAGTTGGCCGTTCCTCCTGTAGGCGATGCGGATCCCAGGGCGTTCGTCACGGTAGGCGTCCATCAGCATGGCAGAGAGCATGAAACTGAAGAGGGTGGACGCGAGGACTCAGCCCTGCTTACTCGGCTGGTCACTTCGAATTTCTCTGAGACAGCTCCATTTTCCATGACTCGCGCCATCATGCTATCGTAGAGCTGACGCACCATCTGAGTGAATCGTTCGGGACAGCCGAATTTATGCATGATTTTCCATAGTCCTCCGCGATTCACCATGTCGAAGGCTTTTGTCAGCTCCACGAAGGTAGAGTGGAGGTGGGTCCGCATCTTCCGACACTTGTCTTCCTATTGACGGGCGGCGAAGATCATGTCCGTGGCCCCACGATGACGGCGGGAGTCGCACTGACTTTCCAGTAGGAGACCTCGTTCCAGATGGTTGTTCAGGCAGTTGAGAAGGATGAGAACGAAGAGTCTCCCGTCGATGTTCAGCAGGGAGATGTCTCGATGATTGTCGCAGATTTGGCAGTTTCCTTTCTGCTTGTAGGGATGCATGATTGTGGCGTCCTTGAAATCCTGTAGAACTTCTCCTTGATGCCACATCTCCTGGAAGAGCTCCATCAGATGTTCCATATGCCGAGGGCCAACCCGCTCGTAGATCTCAGCAGGGATCGCCTCCGATCCGGGCGTATTCTTGCTGGTGAGCAGCTGCACGGCCTTGATGGCTTCGTGGTGAGGGTGGGAGGTCGGGGTCGACGTTAGTCTCCACTTGAGACAGACGAACGATGGTGGCGTCGGAGATGGTAGAGGTACGGTTGAGAACGCCTCTGAAGTACTCGGCACATCGCTGTAGAATTTTTGTCTTTTCAGTGGGTAGAGTACTGCCGTCGGCGCTGAGAAAAGGAGCAGTCGGTTTGGTTGGCGGACCGCAGACAACTTTGATCACAAAGAAATTCTTCCATTCGTTGCGGTCCGCGTAAGCTTGGATTGCCTTAGCCTTGCAAACCGTACAAGCGTTCTGCATCTCCTGTAGCCGCTGCTGAACAAGGCGACGGCAACGATGGAAGGCTGCTTTGTTACGTAGGTGGGACGGGTGACGTAGGATTTGTGCAGTTGGTTCTTGTCAGGGCGCAGCTTGCTGATGGCGGCGTCGTTGTCATCGAACCAGTCCTGGTGTTGGTGACTTGCGCGACCGAGGACAGCCAGGGTCGCCGACTGGACTGTGTCCCGCAGTTGATAACATCATTTCTCCACGGAGGCGGTCACATCAGCGGCGGCAGCGGCGACTGGAATGTTGACTGGCCGTTGAGCTAGCTCATCACTGAAATGGAGGTGGTAAGCAGGCAAAGACTGACGAGGATGGTAATGTTTTCACGAACTAACGAGTTATATTTCACGAACCCCTAGCCTTAAAGGCAGCAAGTAAAACTGAGCAGTGAATAATATAGAGATTCTGAATGTTAAGTAGCCTGACAACAGAGCACGACAGGAATGCGGACCGGCAAGGGGAGTTGTACAGGTGCGTCGTTTCTCGTCACATTCAAACAAGCAATCCGGTCAAAGAAAATGGTACTAAATTGTCAAAGTTAAATTAGTCCGGTACCTCACCACAAGACAACAGAGCAACATTCAGCTTACCTGGTGGTCGCTGACCTTGAGGTCTTCTGCGAGGCTGTAGACGAATCTGTATCTCGAAGATGACGAGCAATGGCCGGTCCACCCGCCACCTTCGTCATCAGCACGTTCCGCTGGTCTCGCCTCCAGACGAGGACATAGTCCAGGAGGTGTCTGCGTCGCGACCAAGGGTACATCCAAGCGGCCTTCTCTCGCATCGGGAGGCGGAAGTAGGTGTTGGTCAGGATGAGCCGGTGTTCTGTGCGGGTTCTTAGGAGGAGCAGGCAATTGTCATTGGAGCCGTTGAGACCATGGTGACCCAGTGCTCCTATCTATGCGGCATGGTCCGTGCCGACTCGGACGTTGAAGTCATCAGGGACAATCATCTTATCCGCCTTCGACACAGACGGCAGGAGCGCGTGCAGGTCGTTGTACAATTTGTTCCTTGCAGCATCGGGACCGGTCATAGGGGGAACGTAGACGTTAACGATTGTGGCGAATTTGTCTCCCTGGAGAAGCAGGCAGAGGCTCATCAGGCGATCGTTGATGCCTGCGGCAGACGGGACAGTCGTTCCGGATGGCAAGGGCGACGCTCGCGTCCCGTCGCTCTGCGCTGGGGCGGCAGCTTCGAAAGAAGGTGTAGGCGACACCAACCTCCTCCACTTTCCTTTGTTCGGAGAACCGGCTCTCGCTGAGTGCAGCGATGTGCGTCTTGTAGCGCGCCAGTTCCCGAGTCACCAGCGCAGTCCTCCGTTCCGGTGGGTCGCTCCTCGGATTGTATAAAAGAGAACTAGCATTGCAGGCTGCCAGGATGAGCGGACTCACCTTCCCAGTCTGGCGAGTGGGGCGGCGGGGGAAGGAGGTGGAGGGGGATGAGAGAGGGCTGTTTCATGTTTGATTGTTTCGACCGTGAATTCTGCGTCTGAGGCCACTGTCAGCCTAAAGACGGCGTGGGTCCCCAGCATTTGTTAAGGGCACCTTTCCTAGCCGCTTCCCCCTCGCGGGGGTGGGCAGTGCCTTCCCTAAATAGAGCTGCTCAAATGTCCTAGACGGCTGCCGAACTCCACTATGAGTCACGGGCTTTAGTTGGAGATTGACCCGAGTTAGCCTGGGCCTGCCTACGACATCGCCGTAGGGCTTGCAGGGGCGGGAGGGGGAGGGGGAAAGGGTAGATAGACGGGAAACAGAACTTCTTCGTCTCTCTCTGAGCGAACTGTTTGCTGAAATCTAAGCGATGAGCAAACAGATTCAAAGGAATGACAGTTAGCGTAGAGCAAAGACAAACAGTAACAAGCAGACGAGGGACAAGAAAGCAAAAACAAGCAAAAGCAAAGGCAGACAAAGGAAACTTAACAGAAAGACATTCAGTTTTCAACAAGGACAAACACTAACAAGCAGACAGAGAGTAAGCAAGCAATAACAAGGAAGGCAAGGACGGAAGAGCAATGTTCGCTTACGTGGGGGCTCATTTACCTTATGGCCTCCTGCGGTGTTGCAGATGGAGTCTCGTCTCGGAGGTACCGAGATTGTGATTCATCCGGCCAGCGGAGCCGAGTTACCGTGTGCGGGGATGGACAAACGGATACCCTCACCTGGTTTAGCCCGCCGCTCGAGGCGGTTATGAAGGTGTGGCTGCTAAGCAGGGCCTAGCTTCCGGGAGCCACATGTGAGAAATGGGTGACAGTTAATGGACGCTAGGCGTAGTCAGAACCTCCAAGCAAGGGAGCGACCTACTACGACCGCCACCTGAGCCCAGAACTGTACACACCTACACCCCAGACACACGTAGCACGACTGAACGCTCTCGGTCGGTAAGTCTGTCCTTAGACGTCTGTACATCCGCCCGTCAAAGACGCGATCACAGGGTGGAGGACGGAGAATTTAGCGCATGTAGGTAGGTGCAGTCTTCTGGGTGCACGGCCGTATCAAACGTATACGACAGGATTGTCGCGATGGCAACATTACATATGTGCAGCCCGGTCTTCAGACTAGGGGTTTTAAAATCATATGATGGCGAGGCACGACCGGCTGGTCAGATTAGCGATTTCACCCCTAATACGTTCTTTTTCTCAAAAATTGCAGCCCAAGATTGAAGAGACTGTCCACTAGCCCAAAAATCTTTCCCATCTACTATGTCCAGCGGGTGTATCCGAATGTAAAACACAGCAGTCATCTGCTTTCAAAAAAAGTAATTTCCAAGTCCAATTCCACTGCCACCCCTTCCCCCACGCCTATACTGGATTCACCAAATCGCGTTTTTACAGGCAACTTCGACATCACTACATGTTGCCAATACCAACTATCTAGGACCAGATACGCAAGCATGCACACGCATACGGCCCAGATAGTCCGCAAACGATGTATATCTGATGCACCATAAGCACTTCGCCTAATCGAAATTCAGCAGTGCTCAATACCTGGCATTATCTGTCACTGCAGATCACACTCATACACGAATGGTCACACACTGATCTGTTGGCATACCTATGCAAACAGGCTCTGACAGGCGGGGGAGCGGCAGGTGGCTGTCGGTTGGCCGACTTTGGCCTGGCAGCCGGTTGTCCGATTGTGACCCCTGCTACCAACGCTCATCTTATGAGGCTCTGGGTTTTCTGTCTCGCAGATAAGCTGAGGTGACGTCGACCATTAGGTCAGCCGAGCACGCAGTCCTCATCCGACTACGCCGTAACTATTGAGTGCCGGCTGAGATCAGTCATGAACAAACTGCGGGCATAAGTGGCCTCTGGAGGGACAATAATTGAATGCGTATGTGTTATTTGACTCCTTAAACCTTAAGTATACCCATCACGCAAAGGCATTCACTCGATGATGCCTGCTTTCCATTCCGAATTCTTTTCTCAATAGCGTCCCCACCGTAAAGCAATTTCGCCAATGGGGAACGCAATCAGCCAACTGCGCCTCACTACTCGCCGCCTGAGGTTTCACAGATACATGTTGCGCCTGCTCGAAATCGTTCGCAATTTCTTCTCTTAGTCACACTCGGCCCTGGCTGGGGGCAGCATCGAGGTGGCCAACGGAAGATCTGGATGGACGTGGTGGAATCTGACTCTGCGTTGAAGGCTTGCATGGCTGGCGTACCATCCTGCTTAGCATTGCTTGAAAGTCTGCTGCTGTCTTAGTTAATTCGACGCTCGTAGGGAGTGACATTCATGACTGTCTTGAGGGCGCAGTTTGGACTGACAAGTAAACTTGTTCGTACCAAACCAGGCTTACGTGGTATCTACCTCGATTCCAACGCTCACCGTCTTCCAAAACCGATGTAAAGTCAGAATGAACTCAATGACCGTACTCATAGCTGCTTATGTGGACTGAGCCAGCCTACGTGTGCCGGTCCTAAACTGTGCCTGAAACAATCTTGAAAAATTGGCTCCCTGTAACTCATTTAAAAGTGCTGCCGTGAAGACATCACCAAAAGGAGGTTATTGCATCCGGGGCCTCGCTCTAACGGGAGACTGATTTAGCCCGTCACATAGCAACCTCCCACGCCACGACTGTTAGCACATCATGAGAGTTTCGAGCTGGTCAACAGCAAGGAATGTCTATAACCGCAATGAGGAAAGGTGCATCAGTGTCTACTCATTCCCTCCTCTTTTCCATGTACCAGTGGTCTGTCCGAGTCTGCCGGTCGACTGGTGACCAGATTTTATGCGGCGGATGGTGTCGCGTGCGCCACGCGCACATATGGTGGTCGTTAATGGCCCGTGCTGACTCGGGGCAGCCCGAATAACGCATGCCGTAGACCAATAGCAATGCAGCTCGTTATGGATTGCGCTAGATGTTCTACGCACACGTTGATTCCCCAGCCAACAAAAGGCAAACTTCGTTCGCCTAGACGGCATATCAGTTAGAGTTGTCGCAAGGCATCATCAGGCAGAGGCCAGCGCTACTTGGCCCTAGGTGTCGAGGATCAAGTTATTTTGCCGGTAGGCAGACCTTGAGTCTACGGATTTTAAAGCACTTGTAATTAGACTATAAGTGGGAAAGGTCGTGCACAATCAGCCTCGCCACCCCTCCCCAGCAACAATGTATCGCGAAGGCAAAGCTAAATGAGGTTGCCCAGATAGGAGTACGGACCTCGTAGCTAACCGGGCATTTCGCATCTGTCTCTCTCTCGCGTGCCACATGTATTATTCCTCTTCCCCTCTCGCTGACCCTGATCGAACTTCACTCGGAATACGCGTACGATCGGAAAACCGACAGAGCAACAGGCTCGTGGCTCAGGGGTTAGAGGCGTAGACTTCTAACTAACAGGTCGCGAGTTCGAACCTCAGGTATTCCACACTTCGGGGTTGGGTATGACTGGCTGACGACGGCCAAAAAACCAGAAATGGCCATTCCAGTCTCCATTGTCTTTGTCGGTAATATCATTCTGCGTACGCCCATTGCCTGACTGTATTGGGTCCGACACATATGATGCAGTACCTGTCCTTTTGGAATCCTACGAATGCATATTTTAGGGAC